CCTCCTCCTCCTCCTCCTCCCTCCTCCCTCCTCCTCCTCCCTCCTCCTCCTCCTCCTCCTCCCTCCTCCTCCTCCTCCTCCTCCTCCTCCTGCTTCTTCGCCTGTTCTATCTCACTAGTCTTTTCTTCAGCTCAACGAGACCTCTCTTGCCGCGTCTCTCCTTGCCAACGGCAGTGAAGTAAGCGCCTATGTTGTTCTGCGTTGCCTGACTGGGCTGGAGATTTGCGATGAGCGTCTGAAGCGAGAAAAGCAGAAGTTGCAGGAAGTCATGGGGAGGTATGTGCATGAGGAGGAGAGGAAGGGAGAGGAGGAGGAGGAGAGGAAGGGAGAGGACGAAGAGGGGGAGGAGGACAGAGACAGGAGGAGAAGGAGAAAGAGGAGGAAGACTGAGACAGGAAGGGGAGGGGAGATTTAAAGGACTTGCAAGTAGTGGTGTTTCGGAGGAGGAGGAGGAGGAGGAGGGGAGAGGGTTTAGGGTTGCATCTGCAATGGTGAGAATGGACTTCTGTCAGGTTTGAGAGTCACGAGAAGAACTCGACTTCTTTGATTGTCAAGTGCGAGAAGACATCAATGATGAGTTTGAAGAGAGTAGAGCTTGTTGTGAGTGAAACTTCCTCCCTTCTCCTCTCCTGTCCCCCCCCCCCCCCTCTCTCCTCTTCTCTCCTCGCACTCTTCTCTCGCCTCGCTCTCTCCTCCCCTCCCCTCCCCTCCTCTCCTTTCTCCCCTCCTCTCCTCTCTTCCCTCCTCTCCTCTCTCCCCTCCTCTCCTCTCTCCCCTCCCCTCTTTTGTGCTAAACTCACCATTCTGCTCTCTCTCCAGAAAAAGCAACTCCAACAGGCAAACAGAAATCTCATCGACTGCCAGGCTTCTTGTATTTCTCACTCCCAGGTAACCATCTTCTCCGCCCCTCCTCCACCTCCCCGTCTCTCCAGCTTTCTCGCTCTTGTTCTCTTCAGCTTTCTCGCTCTTGCTCACATCACAGCAGCAACATACCTACAACGCCTGTGATATCATGAAGACAGGTCTATCGGTCTGCAAGAAAGATCTTGACACGTAGTATCTCTATTCTATTTCTTCTCCCTCTCAGCTCTCTTCGCAGCGAAAGAGCTCGTAGAAAACTGCTTGCTGCCGCCGTCGCCACGTATGCTCCTGCTCCTGCCCCTGCCCCTGCCCCTGCTCCTGCCCGTCTTATCTTCTTGCCCCTGTTCCTCCTCCTGCCCCTGCTTGTTCTCCTTCTTCTCCTTCTAGCTCCTCCTCTCCTTATCGGTGCTGCTTATCTTCTGCCTTCGCCTTCCCTCCTCTGCAGCAGCTGCTGCTGTCCATTGACGCCATTCGCATCAGGTGCAGGTGTAGCACCGAGAGGGGAGGAGCTGTTCAAGGGGCATCAAGCCAACCCAGGAGGACTGGGATCCTCCGTTGGATGAGGACGATTGTGTGAGGTTGCAAAGTCAGCCTGACATGCTCGTTCGGGGATTTATTCTCCTGTTTTGCATCATCCCCATCATCAGGAAGAGATCTACGACATTCAACAATACATGCAAAGAAAATCAACGATACAAGATGATCTCTCCAGTAAGCTATACTAGCACATCACACCCTCACTCAAAATTTCCTCCTCCTCCTCCTCCTCCTCTTCATTTAATTCCCTCCAAATTCTTCAGGGCCCGTCCATTGGCAGCACCTGCGCTCTTTCACTCTATCGTCTCATTCACGCGCTGCACCCTCACCTGCTTGTGCCGTACGTTCTCCTCCTGCAGCTCGGGAGGGACCCCAACAATATTCTGCGAAGAGATGAGTCAGTCAGTCAGTCCGTCAGGAGAGGGAGAGGGAGAGGGAGAGGGAGAGGGAGAGGGAGAGGGAGAGGGAGAGGGAGAGGGAGAGGGAGAGGGAGAGGGAGAGGGAGAGGGAGAGGGAGAGGGAGGGAAGAAGAGAAAGAGGGCAGGGTGGAAATTGGCAAGGAGCTTACGCTGCTATCGGTCAAGAATTGCCACATCTCATCACTTTGTGAGAAGCTGGCGACCTTTGGATCAAGTCAGAAACGAAAATCTTCCTTTCCCTTCCCTTATGAAACCTTCTCCACGCACAGCCCCAGCCCCCTCATGCCTTCACTCGCTAGGTCTCACCTGAAGCAGAGAACGCATGTACTCTTCAAGCTCTTTTCGTCTCCTGCACGAAAAAGTGAGAACAAGCAACATTATCGCCTCTTCAACCCCTTTCTCATCCTCATCCTCAACCCCCACCCCCACCCTCTCCCCCTCCCCCTCCTCACTTGTTCACGAATTGTTCGTCGAAGTTGAAGAACAATTTCTTCTGTGGGAGCTTTGGTACCTTGAGCACAGTCATTCAAACATCAAGGCTTTCTCTTCCCCCATCCCCCCTTCCCCCTCTCTCCGTCCTTACCTGTGCGTACCAGAACTTGGACCTCAACACTTCGTCCAAGATCATGAAGTCAGTGTATCTCTTCTCGCACACCCATTGCTTGTCTCCGTTGCAGATCCTCATGACGTACACAACATACTTCTGCGTGAGGCCACAGCTCCTGTCCGATCGGACGTCGGTGTCAATGATGCTGATGAGGAACGCGGAGAATCCCATGATTTGTGCTGGCGCGCGGAGATTGAGCAGGAGGTTTGGAGTACAAGACTTGACAGGAAGAAAGGTCTGATCAGATGGGAAAGTACCCGATCTCGGTTTGCTTCACTATCCGTTAGAAGAGATGGAGGGGATGGAACGGGACGGTACAACTGCCAAGTAACAACGTGTCAGGATTTCTTCGGCCGCCGACTCCATTCCACATTGGATGGGAGAAAACATCGATTTCTCTGGAGCCTCATACATGCACTCTGGCAGTAGCTCTATCTGGAACATCAAGCATGATGTTTCCTCCGCCATGTGCAACTACGACATTTTGCTGCACATTCCTGCATCATGGTTTTCCTTGACGAATGATCTCTTATTACTGTCACGTATCTGTCACATCGTTTACCACATCTATTTCTCCTTCTACCTCTACCTTTGCCCCCGTCTCTCACTTCCTCCCACTCTCTTCCTCTCCATCTCCCTCCCCCTCCCTCTTCATCGCCATCCTGGTGCTGGCTTTTGCCATGTTTACGTCAGGGAATCTATTTCCGGAAAAAATTTTAATCAATTTTTTCGGCGCACTAAAACAGATAGATTTCGAAATTTTAAAAGTATGTATGGTGCACTGACAAAAAAGTTGCAAAATTTTAATGATTGACAGTGCAACCTGCAATGTACCGGTACTATCCAGCCCATTGGATGGGCAGGAGTGGGTGGTACTGCATTCACAACGTTATTTTGTCAAAATAATTGTGCAAAGCGCACTCCAAGGTAGCACCACGCAATAATGCTGACTCATGGTGACATTGAGTAAACATTTTTGTATCGAACCAGAACTGCCCGAAAAATGCAATCCAGCAGAGCAAATGATGCCATGTTGCAGGAGCGACAACGACGACAAGAAAGGGCATTTGACCTGATAGAGAACAAAGTCATCGCTGATAGTACAAAGAAAGTTTACCGATGCAAGATCAATAGGATCGTGCGTCTGTTACTCAAAGTGAACCCCAGGGCTGTCGACGAGGACGGCGAATTGATACTCCCAATGGCATGGAAAGATTTGAAGAGTTTGTTTGGAGACCTTGTCACCAATACTGACTTACCAAAATCTAGAAGGAGAAGAGGAGGTCAAGAGCAGGAAGAGCAGGAAGAGCAGGAAGAGCAGGAAGAGCAGGAAGAGCAGGAAGAGCAGGAAGAGCAGGAAGAGCAGGAAGAGCAGGAAGAGCAGGAAGAGCAGGAAGAGCAGGAAGAGCAGGAAGAGCAGGAAGATCAGGAAGAGCAGGAAGATCAGGAAGATCAGGAAGACGACGATCAGGAAGACGAAGATCAGGAAGACGACGGAGATCATGAGGATGAGGAAGAGCAGCAAGATGATCCGCATAACGTACACGAGGGTGAGAACGAGGACATTTCAGGATACCAGGCAAGCAAGAGAACGCTGTCGTTAGGAGCACTGCAGGGGTACAAGAGTGCGTTGAAAGCATATTACAGAGACAGAAATGTAGCTTTTGACGCGACTGGAATGCCATCGGGCAGTACTTTAAACGACCGGCTCAGTCGACTCATCAAAGGTTATGGAAGGGTGGTTACTCAAAAGAAATCCACGGGAGTGATGAAATTGAAAGAAGGCAAAAGTGTCTTGGCAGTGAGAGAGTATGGAATTATTTGTGAAAAGATGACCCAGATACGTTCAGACACTATGGCACGAGAAATAGGATCAACAGGCTTGTTCGGATTTGCTGGTACCACGATCATGTGGAACTGTTGCTGTAGAAGCGAAACTTTAGACATTCTACATCTTGAACACTTTGATTGGGAGAACGACTGCTTGAAGCTGACAATATTGAAGACCAAGATGGACCAAGGGGGTGTTGACGCCGACATTTTTTCTCCCAGAACAAGGCACATATTTGCAGCACCCAACAAACCTATGTCTTGTCCTATCTTGGCCATTGCTTTGTATGCGTTTTCCCAAACCAGAATGAGGATAAGTCACACCAAATTTTTTCTGGGAAACGACCAGAAGCAGAGGTTTGGCCAAGTCTTGAGAAGGGTATTGTCCACAGAGGACATGCAGGAGGAAGTATGGAGGGATGTTGGTAAGTGCTAGCCTGAGGAAGTCTTGAGACTGAGATTGAAATGTGCAGGTTCGCACAGTTTTAGGAAGGGGAGCGTGACGCATCTACTAGGCATTCCGGGAGGACCAGTCAGTACATCAATATTTCAACGAGCCAGCTGGTCCTTAGGCAACACCAAGGACAGGTACATCGGAACAGTGGAACCAGGCAATGATCAATACTGTGGGCGTATTCTAGCAGGGAACAACACCAAGAGCGAGAATTTCGATGTGTTACCTCCTCATTTCACAAGAGAAGGTCTGGCAAGAATCAACGATATTGGTATGCACAAGTTCATTGATGGATACGACACGTTCCCGGACAGCTACAAGAGATGTTTACCAATGTTCCTTGCGCAGATAGTGTACCATCTGGACCGTCTCAAAGACATGTTTCCAAGTCACCACTTCCTATGGGGGTCACCTGTTTTTGCAGTGAAAGGCTCAAGAACAATGCAATTTTTACAAGAATTGAAAGAGCATCATATCAGTGTTTGTCGCGGGGAATGCGAAGAATGCGGTATGACCTGCAGTGGAGTTCCGATGCACGTGATGAATGTGGCTGAAATCAGGAAGCTGCGAGAGAGTCAAGAACAGGGAACAAAGCTGTTGCACGATACAGTGTTGAATGTTTCAACTTCGCTACCGCAAGACATTTACGAGCTGATCATTAGAAACTTTGAGGTGAACGGAGCCATTCCACTAGCTCAACGAGATCTGGAAAAGCTGCGGGAGGATCTGACATCCATGATGAATACAGGATTCAGTGAAATCATGCAAGGACTTCTGACGTCGAGACTCAGGATGCAGGGTCCTGAGGAACTGACAGGGAGAGGGGGTGGAGGGGAACTGCCAATTATTGACGACAGGACAGGCATACTGATTGAAGGCGAAACGTTTACATGGGGGGGGATGCAACATCCTGTACCTCAAGGTTTTATTTTCCCTCAGAAGACGCCGTGCAAAAGTATGTGGCAGAAATGGCACCTAGGGCAAGAGGAGAAGATTAATGGAGAATGGAAGCGTATTGGTCCACTCAAACGTTTGGAAGGAACAGATCTAGTGTGTGCCAACATGAAGAAGAACCTTTGCAAAGCAAAAGCAGTCATGTTGGCCATCGAGGTAATGGGCAGAAGACTTGCAAATTTGAGTACTGATATTGGGATCGACCATGAGAACTATTCAGAGTGCTTCAATCATGGTTACGTTGAACTTGTCAAGGAGAAGTATGGACCGAATGCATGGAAAAAACAGAGAAAAAGATTCACCGAGCTTTCATACACGACTATGTACAAAAGGTTATGTCGGAGCAACACAGGCCGAAAGAACAAGAGGAAGAGGAATGCGGTTGCCAACCGTGACGAAGGTGTACGACGGTGCGTGTGGACATGTTACATTGCAATGGACAGTGACTGACTTTGTGTAGGGTAAGAAGAATTGACGCTGCTCGAAGCCTGACCCAACAGACTCATTCTCCACTTCATTCAGACGTTGACATGGAGAGCAGCGATTGACATGCAATAGCCTACCGGACTGTAAGATGACTTACAACCAAGTCAGTGTAATATTGGTATAAACTGCGCAGATGTGTTTGCATACAACGATTATGTCTCACCCGCCTTTCACCATTTTTTCGGCTAAGTCACATACAACTTGATTATAAAGAATAATCCAGTACTGATTTGTACCAGTTTTGGAAAACACTCATCATGATTTGTACCGTCCTGAAATGTGTTCCTTGTACCAATCTTTGTACCAAAATATTTAGTCAATATCTTTAAAACTAGTGCTATAAGCTGTGCACTCACAACAAGGTCTGTTTAGATTATAGGTTACTGAATAACGTATTAAAATGTTAATAACATATAAAAATGTTAAAAATCAGTCAACTCCTAAAGCGGCCAGTCGCTGGTTCAACGGTTCGGTTGAACGGTTGTGCCCGGAGTACTGAGAACTTCAAGCCTGAAGGCTTGAAACTTCAGTGGCCGTGAACTGTTCAGCCGGCGTGCTGAACTCCCGGGGCGGCCGGAGCGCGGCTCCGGCCCGGGACGGCCATGAGTGGATCGGGCTGCCAGACGCTCTGTGCCAGTGAGTGACCGTACGGTCGGACGTCACGGTTTCGCGCGGCCCGGCGGCCGGGCCGGCGGCTGGCCCAACCGTTGAACTTCGAACCGCCGAAGTTCAGAAATAGCGAACTCACTGACAAAGCCTCTGACTGCTGAGAGCCTTCATGACATGATGATATGACGGAATACAAGTTTGTTAGACTTGTACTAGTCCAAAGTCACGCAGATGTCACATCGACCTTAGTTGTAACAAGACAGTTTTTGCTCAAGACCGAGTTTAATGCACACAAAAACCAGAATTGAGGAGCACATGAGAGATAGACTGTATGCTAGGATGTGAAACCCAAGCAACCAGACATGAGGGGACCTTAGCAAGACGGCTAGGAAGGCCTCCTCTTCATCATACGTACTACATTGCCGCCTTGACACGTAAGTCGTCTTGGTTTACAGGAGAGTTTTTGTTAACTCGGCGCTATCTGACTGGCACGGCTGGCATACGTTCCATCCTCCCCCCGAGTTTCTGAAATAGTACGTTACATCGGACGTCAGAAAGTCACACAAACAAGAGAATGTCAGCAGATCCAAGTCAAGATACGATGATACAACGTCAAGTTCACAGTCATGCTGAGTGGGCAATAACCATTCGAGGATTGTCCATTCTGAAGAAGATTTTCATGCAGGGCTGTTAGATGTGCGGCACAGAGATAAGGGGAGATGCCTGGCGAGCGGATGCAATGACGAGAGATAGAGTATAGGATAAGAGAGTCTGAAGAGAGAGAAGATAAGAGAGATAGAGAGAGAGAGAGAGAGAGCGTGCCCGCCGGCATTTGAAGACCAAAAGATAAATTTTTTGAACCGTAAAGAACTTGTGACCAGAGATTGCTGCCGCGAGATTGGAACATCCGTTTCAAGGCATCTGAAGATTGTTGTGCAGTAGTACCTTGTTCGCCGATCCAGAAGTAGCTCCAGTTATGCATGCCACAGCCTAGCTCCATGACATGAAACTTCCGCCAGATCTCCTGGTAGTTCCATTTGATCCTACTCAAAGATCAAGAAGATTAAAATCGAATCAGCTTCAAGTGCGTTTCCACACGGTTAAGCAGATATTCGACCGACCAATCTGGCTGGGGAAGGCTTGTTTTTCCAATTCGAAGATCAATCAAACAAATTGAGGCTGAGATGAGAGGCCTAAACAACTTGCGGCTAGAGAGAGAGCCTGATTGAAGAGAGGAGTCATCCGAATTTGTAAGGCTTGAATTGAATTTGCATGAATTGTCAACAGCAACGGGAAAACAATACCAAGAAAGAAAAAACTCCAGTAAACAATTCAACTAACCAAATATAAGATCAACATGATTGAGCATGTAATCGAGGCTCATAACCGACGGAATACAAGTTTGTTAGACTTGTACTAGTCCAAAGTCACGCAGATGTCACATCGACCTTAGTTGTAACAAGACAGTTTTTGCTCAAGACCGAGTTTAATGCACACAAAACCAGAATTGAGGAGCACATGAGAGATAGACTGTATGCTAGGATGTGAAACCCAAGCAACCAGACATGAGGGGACCTTAGCAAGACGGCTAGGAAGGCCTCCTCTTCATCATACGTACTACATTGCCGCCTTGACACGTAAGTCGTCTTGGTTTACAGGAGAGTTTTTGTTAACTCGGCGCTATCTGACTGGCACGGCTGGCATACGTTCCATCATGATAGACTTGTAAATTTCCTGTTCAAGCTCGTTTACTTCAAGCAATCAAAGTCTCCCAGCACAAGATCCCTTCACCTCGTTCTCCTTTCAAGTTTCCGAGTACCGAAGTTCTCCTGGCAACCGTGCCAATCCATGATCCGACGGCCGGTTCTCCGGTATAATTGATTTCTGTTCTCCTGAAGCCGTAGGCCGCTGTCCCGTGTCACGGTCCTCCTCGTATGGCCTCCGGTAGAATAAATCTGATAGTACTATCTTCCCTGATCAGACCTCTAGTCCTCCTGTGTCCATGACCCCAGGGGTTATGAGGCCAGGGCTTCCGAATCCCCCCCAGCCGTTACCGACCCTCCCATACCCTGGGCCGCATGCTGTCCTGCAGACTCGGATCTGATATAAGCTCACTCGCTTATCGCCTGCTGTCTCCCATGAGTCCTAAGCTCCTGCTGTCTTCTCCATGAATACCTTCCCGCATCTGTGCATCCAGCCACATCAACTGCTTGGCATAGCCTGAGGTGAGACTAGCTCCGATCAATAGTCTCAACTTAACTTCATACTCAGTTTGAAAGCACTGCGATCAGATCCGAGCCTGAGGAACTTGGGCTAGTTGAAATCAGGAGCTTCAAGTGAAGTTGGGCCCTGAGTCGAACGTGACTTGAGGATTCTTCCGAGTTAATCTCAAACGATTCGCTCAGTCGAGACCGTAGATTCTGATAGAGCGGCAGCGAATCACCAGAGGGTCACGCACCTGAGACATCAACAAGTTCATTCCATGGAATGCACTGGCATTTCAGAAACTTCCAGTCAAGTAGTCTATTCAGTTGAGGTAGCATCAATGATTGCCTGCTTCGAATCTGCTCAGCAATAAAGGCCAATCTCGGACACTTGTTCTACATTGTAGATGCTATGACGCATTCAGCATATTGAAAACCTACACGAGATTGTCAAATGTAAGTAGTCATGGTGAAGTCCAGCACCAGCTGCCTGAACCTGGGATAAGTGCGCCCGACGCTCAAGATGAGGGGGGAAAGTCTGCATGAACTGTCCTGTTACTGAACGCTAGGGGGGAAGAAAAGGAGGTCCACCCGCGAGTTGAAAGAGTGCTGGAGAAGTGATCGAATTTTGCAAACGTGCGTCATCCAGGTCACTGAGGTCATATATTGCGGCACTCCACGATCAACCAGGGCCTGATGCACCCGCAGGAAGGAGGCGAGTAGGGGAGGGAGCCGGGGCAGATCCGGCTCGTCCGCTTGATGGAGGGTACCATCCAGCCGAGAGAACAGAGGAGGGGTCGAGAATTTCCAGGTCTACACAGGGTAGAGTAGCGCTCCATGGTAAGAAGCTGGCCGTGGCGATGTAATGAGCTGATAGGGTAACGGTGCTTGAGGTGTGAACCCCTCTCCTCCCACTCCCTCCTGATGTGGAAGCGGAAGCTTGCAGTGTGAAGTCCAGTGGGGACAAACAACGCACAACCTGAACGCAGGTGGGGAGGTTTTTTAAAAGCAACTACCCCCACCCCCTCTTATCCAATTGTTCATAACCACCCGTAGTGATCTACTAAATTTAACCCCGAGGCGCCCTTGCAGCGCCCTCTCTAGCCTCAGGGGCAAAGGAAGCATGGATGGGCTCTTTTACTTATATGTTAACTTAAAGAAAGTTAGAGGAAGATGGGGGGTGACAAGACACCCCTAACCGTCACGAGGCACGGTGCCTGTCGCAGGACTGAGAGGAAAAGAGGCCTTTTGAGATTTTAAAATAGGTCAGCGACTTTTTAGTTTTGGGCGAACATAGCTATTTTCGAAGACCGTCATGCACGAGGATAGTGGGGTGATGAGTACCGGTCCTGCGACTGAAATCTGCAGTAAGTAGTAGGGGTCTCTTGACCAAAGTTTTGTTGTTTGGAGGGGTGGGTGGGTAAAGCCAACACAGTAGATTTTAGTTGAGTTCAGTCCAGATAGGTGGGTGGATGGTTCGCATGATGTCAGGGGGGTAGTAAAATCGTAAGTGAAGGAGGGTAGGTAAAGGTTCTTATTATTACAGTGGGCAAACCAAGAAAAATGATGATAGTATGAACATGGGGGGTCAATTCAATAGAAAGTTTGTGATAATTATAGGTGGGGGTAGTAAGGTTGGGTGGTAAGTCAGGGTCGTGAGGTTTCGGGGGAGAGTTTTGATTTTGCTCTGGTGTCATTCAAGCAGAGGCCTGCGAAGGAAATGGCAGGAGCGATGCGCAGAGAGGGATGGAGATAATGGTCTGTATAGAAAGGAGATGAAAGGGAGAATGGAAGGAGAATGGAAGGAGAATGGAAGGAGAATGGAAGGAGAATGGAAGGAGATGTAAGTGCTACCGGGGATAGTTGAGTTTTTGGTGTCCTCGCGAGTGGTATTGAGTCAGTGAGCCTGGGTTCAAGCTGTATCTGATACTTGCAGTGTCATAGACTGAACTGCATAGACTGAACTGGAATATATGACATTGATCTTAAACTTGTCTGATATCTGTATCATTCATATCCTGCCTGCAGGTTCTCGTGTCAGCTTGAGAGGTATTTTGGCAAGTCTCGAACAGAGCAGCTCGTGTGTTTGGCAAGATTGACTCTGAGCTTAGGTGCCATTTTGGCCCAAATCTGTTGCCGTTGCAACTCAAAGGTCCATCCCATGTACACTCATATCGTTCTGATTTTAGTTGATGTAACCAGATGGTCTGTCCTGAACTGAAAAGGGGAGTTTGAGTTTCGGGAGCTCCCCTCGGGGCGAACAAGATGGACAGGCAAGGGTTTCCTAGCTCCCGCATGCAGGGAATGGAGGAGCCCTCAGCCTACCAGGCTGCTGAATCGTTGGGGGTCCCTCATGGGAACTATCCTTTGCACGAGGCCAGCTCCACGAGAGGTATGATGCAGGGGAGTTACCAGGGGAGTTACCATCCTTGCGAACAAGACAAGGATGAGGCACAGGACAGGTGCAGCACAGGGGCTGCAACACGGAAGGCGATCCTGAATGCAGACATCGCACTCAAGATCTACTCGTCGAGGAACTCCGACTCGCTCTTCAAGACCGCTGAGAGCGCGGTGATAGCACGGCACTTCAGTATCAGCTCCAAGGCAGTGCGAGATATCTGGGACAGGAGGACTTGGGCACACGTGACCATGCCACTCTGGACTGACGAGGAGAGAGCTGAGTATGAGAGCATGAACAAGCGAGCTCCTGGCAGGCCGGTCGGAGCGAAGGACTCGCGTCCCAGGAAACGCAGGAAGGACAGGAAAAGGTCACCCTCGCCCTTGCAGGAGCAAACCAGCTCAAGTCCGGTCCAGAGTCAGCAGGGAGTGAGAGAAGCTGCTGCTGCTGCTGCTGCTGCTCCAAATGCAGAAGCAGCATACGACATCAACGAGCAAGATATGAGGGGATCCTTGTACCAGTATGAAGGATTCCAGACTATACAAAGCGCACGCAACAGCGTTAATCAGGTCGGTTCAGGTTCAATGGAAGACCTGGCTGATACGAGTGTCAATAATTTCAATGACAATGAGACGGTGAGTTGCTGCTTCAAGCAATCTATTGGAGACGCCATGGACAATGAGGTTCTCCCTCCTCCGGAGAATGAGCAAGAGGAAAATGGCAGCCCTGGCAATGTCGTAAACGAAAATGACCCGTGCTTCTCGTTCCTTACCTACCAGCAGGATGAGCAACAGGAGATCTTTCAGGATGGCGGGGAGAACGGAGGAACCAATGGCCAATCAGGTGGTTCCTCAAAGAATTCTTCTCCCAACCCTTTGCAGGACAGCCCCGAATGGTTTGTACAGTCAAGTGCAGAAGACATTCAGGCTTACGTGGCAATAGCACGCAACAGCGACTCCAGTGATTGGTAAGCGTTGAACGATGACGGCAGTTTTTCACTCCTCTGACTGATTGTCTTTGCCCCTACGCAGAACGATTTTTCATGTGAATAGTGATGTGAAGATTTATGTCAATTTGAATTTGTGAATTACGTTTGAGTAACCGTTCAGTCAATAAATTTTCAAGCTGTTTTATATTTCGTTCCTTGTCCCTGATAGCTGGAACTTTTTCCTTTCTCCCCAGTGTTTACAAGGAAGAAACCAGACAATAACCCTCTAAGCACGAGTTGCCAGAGTGGTTTTGGGAAGAGGTTGCTTCCTACGATCCTGCAGACTTACTCCCTTCTGTTTCCCTTCGCTCCTTCCACTGCTTTCTAGCTTAGTGCCGAGGTTCCATAGCCTAACAACCATCCACAACAACCATGGCAGCCTGAAGGTTACGTACAGCTAGTATGTGCAAAGCTACAACACGGGAAAATTAGTTTTCTAGTCCAAGAAATCGTCGATGACGACCAAATCGAAGTGGAAGAATAGACCTTGAAGATGCGTTGACCCTCATGTGTACTAGAACCACGAACAAGTTTTCCGATAAGTCTACCTCTCTTTCATCGCGAACACAGCTGCCTTGTGCCTTGTGGATCTTGGAGACTACAAGCAACACGAATAACTTTAGAAATCTAGGCCGTTTCTGATGCACTCGCATGGTTCACACTAGGATAGATTCCCTTGGTCTCATCGTGTTTGATCAGTTTCCACTGCTTCTCAAGATGAACAAGAACAAGCGTATGTCACATGTGAACTGGTCCTGACTGATTATTGCCGCTCTAAACTCTCATCCAATCGAGCAAGACCGTCCAAGACTGCTCAGGTCCTCTCGTTCTCGAGTTAGGCCGAACGTTAGCGTACGGGGTTTAGGGACACCTACTGCATTCTCTTCTCCTTCCCCTCCATCTCCTACTCATGAGGCTCGTCACTCCGAGTCTTTCAACTGAAAGCATCCCCGCCAACTTCCTCCAGCCTGCAGTTGACATGGAACTTAATCCCAATCCAAGGATCTTCGGCAAAGCGTATCCCTCAGATCCACGTAAAGTGCTCTCCTCTCAGAGCCAGCCAAAGTGCTCTCCTCTCAGAGCCAAAGTGCTCTCCTCTCAGAGCCACGTAAAGTGCTCTCCTCTCAGAGCCAGGTAAAGTGCTCTCCTCTCAGAGCCAGGTAAAGTGCTCTCCTCTCATAGCCACGTAAAGTGCTCTCCTCTCAGATCCACGTAAAGTGCTCTCCTCTCATAGCCACGTAAAGTGCTCTCCTCTCGCTGCAGTACCTCTCTTCCGTGCTGTCTCCTTCCCTTCCTACTCTTCCTCCTCACTCGCTCCATCTTCCTTCCGTGCCATACTTCCCCTTTGATTGAGGTAGGGGTACATCACTACCGGTATTTTAATCTACAAAATATGGGGTATAAACACGCACGGAGTTTGTCAGGGGGGTGGGGTAGGTTCTTTTGGGGAGGAAAGGTGGCCCAGTGGGTCTCCGCTACGTCTAGCTAGAGCGCATGCAGGATAGAAGCTTCTACGAAGAGGAGTGATCAAGGAGGAAGATGAGGGGGGCGGGGGGGGGGGCGGGGGGAGCGAGAGGGAGTGGAATAAGCGGGTAGGGAGTGAAGGCAGGAGGAGAAGGGATGGGGGAAGGGGAAAGAAAGGGCTTCCCAGAGTATGAAGTGGCCGAAGGTAGCGTGTTGTGATCCAGGTTGAAGGGTGTGTTGTATCATTGACTACCTGGAAGGCAGGTTGGGACGGGAATGGAATTCAGTTTCCATAGCTAAACTCACCTCTCATAAGAGAACATGACGATCTTGAGGAGGCAGTCAGGCACGCGGCACGATGGAACGCAGGCAGCGAACGATGCAATCAAGTCCGACGAAGACGAGGAGGACGAGGCAGAGATTGAAGACCTTCTCTACTCGATCATCGCTCGCAAGGAGATCAGCGTGGCCTGGAAGGACACTTCTCTACCCCACCTTTTGGGGTACGGGTCTGCCTTGTACATCGTAGAGCAGCTCCTCATGTACCCTTCGGATCTGCTCAAGACAAGGCTCCAGGTAGACAGGTGCTTGCCCCTACTTCGTCCTCGCTGATGCTCCTGCTAGGTGGATCTTCGCCCTACTAACAAGCTGTGGAAGGATTGGATCGTTCTCTGCCGGCACATCTACGGGCGGGAGGGGATGTACGGCTTCTTCCGAGGCTTCGGCTTCAACACGTTCGCTGGGATCCCTGCCCAGCTCGCCTACCTCGTGACGTACAACTGGTGCAAGGAGAAAGTGGAGGGGCTGGGAGGAGAGAAGTGGAAGGAGTCTCCGATCGCGCCCTTGTGCGCAGGAGCGCTTGCGGAGGGCCTTACCTCCTGCTTCTGGGTCCCGCTCGACGTCATCGTGCAGAAGATTCAGATCCAAGGAGGCCTCCCTCCCTCGTGGGAGAAAGGCTCCGGTCCTGCTCACCGACCTGTGGGATCGCAGTTCAAGGGGGCTCTTTCCGTCGTCAAAGACGTGATCAAAGAGGACGGAGTCTTCGGCCTGTGGCGAGGGACTGGGGCCCACATCCTTGCCTTCGTCCCCCAGGCGGCTGTGTGGTGGGCGAGCTATGAGCAGTCGAAGCAGATGCTTGCTCGCCGTGCTCCAGATGCTGTGCAGGGCATGCCCATCCACCTCACTGCGGGCATGATCGCGGGAGCGGTGAATGCGATCGTGACGAATCCACTTGATACCATGAAGGTGAGGGTACAGACGAAGATCGGTACCGGCACCTCAGGATGGAACACAATTACGCAAATGGTGAAGTCTGAAGGAGTCTCCTCACTTGGAAAGGGGTTGGCTCCCAAGTTGTGGATGGCAGTTCCTGTGTCCGCGCTCTCTTCCGTCTGCTACGAACTCATCATGTCTTTGTCCAAAGTGAAAAGCAAGTGACATGTGTTTAGATTTGTGTGTTTACTGAGTGAGTACATCAAACACTTGTTTCCGGGAGTTTCTATGAAGTACAACCATACTGACCAGTGACTATCTCAGGTTACAACCAGCTCAACACATTAAACAGGAACTGCTTAATGACGGTTGTAGAAGTAGTCCCACTGGTGGCGAGCGCGGCGCCAGTCATCGTAGGAGGCGGCATCGTTGGCGCGGTAGTAGGTGTCCTCGGACTCCTGGTAGAGGGCGCGAGCCTGGGTGTTCTGAACGAACGCCTGGGTGTAGAGGTTGGCAGCCTTCTTTCCGTAGAGGATAGTGCGCATCTGACAAGAATCATTAGCGGTGAACAATCAGTCAGTACGTGCGAGTACAAGAGTGTTGCTTGTGTGAACAGCAAGGAAGGAAACGGCAGTCCATCAGAACATCCAGTTCCAACAGACATTTACATTGGAAAATCGAGGCGAACAATACAAACACATATCACACAACGCAAAGGCATCTCAAGAAGACTGAGGATACAAATGAGTAACGAAGTATCGAGGGAACTCTGAGCAGACATCGATATGGCATGCAGACAATCCCATTTCACCAGCACGTCATGGACAACAGAGGTGACAACCAACAAGGAATGTTGTGATGAGAAGGGGGGCAATGAAGAGGAGGAGGAGGAGGAAGGAAGAGGAGGAGGGAAGAGGAAGAAAGAGTTGGGGGTGAGGGGGGATGTGAGAGGGAGGAGGAGGATGATGAAGAGGAAGGAGCAAGGAGGAAGGAGGAAGGAGGAAGGAGGGAGGAGGAAGGAGGAAGGAGGAAGGAGAAAGGAGGATGAAGAGGAAGGAGAAAGGAGGATGAAGAGGAAGGAGAAAGGTTGAAGAGGAAGGAGGAAGGAACAGGATAGGGAGGACATAGAAGGCTGAAAGGGAGAGAAACAAGGCAAAGTGCCATACATTCGATGCTGATGTGAAGTGGCTCTTCGGAGGTTTATATAGTCTGGAATCTTGCCGATAGACACCCCCGTCGGAAAAGCAAATCTCGTGTAACAATCCAATAATACATATCAATTTTCAAATAATTTTTCACAGATTTGAGATTTTGTCAAGTTTAGTGATTATAGATTCGTTTTCGGAAGGGGTACTGTCCTCTTCTGGTTCCTCCCAGTGCGAAGAGCCGCAGATTTGCCACCTCATCCACCCCTACTTGACCCCTACCTCATCACTTCCAAAAGGACCCCTCATACCAATTTAGGACCCCATTCTTGACTGTAAGTACCCACCCTTTCATGGGTAAAATATCACTTCAAACTCCACCACCCCCTTTCATATACCACCCCGCCCGGCGACGGCTTCTCATCGTCCTCTGAAGTATGGCTCCGCCGCGTTGCATGCTTACATGCATCTTTCCCCACCTGCCTGATTCGCTCAATGCTCTCCCCTCCTCTCTTTCTTCTCTTGTCGTGTCTCTTGCTCGCTACTTTGTTGTTTCTGTTCATGTTCTCCATTCTTTCCTTGTATACCCTACAGTTCTGCATCAGTGTACACATGCGAAACCTGCACAGTTTGTGTGGTTGCTTTGGCGTTTCGCTGCTTTCTTGTAAAGTTGGTCTTGAAATGTATTTCTGGCTTAACCAGATGTCTGCCGACTACCTTGTTCATGTACAGTGTTACATCATGTGCTAGAACACATCTAGGTCATGTCTATCGTGTATTTGTTGTCCCTCCTCACCCTGTGTCGCTTGGTTCTGTGCTGCCACTCAACTTCTCTTATTGTCTATCCATCGTGTCCATCCTTGAATCAGCACGCTGCATATCACTTCTCCTCCTCACCCCCTTGCTGTCTTTCACTTTTGCATGTGCGCATCTCCCCGTCTTACGGTTCTTGTCAGATGCGCACTATCCTCTACGGAAAGAAGGCTGCCAACCTCTACACCCAGGCGTTCGTTCAGAACACCCAGGCTCGCGCCCTCTACCAGGAGTCCGAGGACACCTACTACCGCGCCAACGATGCCGCCTCCTACGATGACTGGCGCCGCGCTCGCCACCAGTGGGACTACTTCTACAACCGTCATTAAGCGAGAAGAATAAACTCTCATGCTTATGCTCGTCTATTGCTCAAGTTTCAGCATGCCCTCGCCAAGCTTGTTCATTTTATGTATCAACTTGTTCCAGGCATCGCCATTATCACCTGGCTAGTTGTATCCTGACGTTGCCGGCGGGTACCCATCACTCGTGTAGTACCTGTACGGCATGGGATACGCGCTCGTCCCCATCGTCTGCTCACTCGGTGCATCCACGTCAGAGCCAGGCATGTAGTAGTGGTTGGCGGGCATGAGGGAGAGGGAGGACCAGAAGTCGTTGTACACCTCCTGCATGGGGGACGACATGGCAACGGCCGCTGCCGCCATGCCCTCCCGTCCGTAGCTCCCCGTCCATCTCTCCGATGAGGCCCCGTAAGGCCACATGTAGTAGCTGTCGGCCATGACCGGAGGATAGGCAGGGCGGGAGGCGCTGCCGTGCGCCTGGCTGGCGTCAGCTATGGGGGAGGAGGGAGGGGAGAAGTACCTGGGCGAGGACGAAGCGAGTGGCATCGGTCGCGACATCAAAGGGCAGGAGAGAATCGCCATTGCGAGCCTGGACGTCAGCGCCGGCGGCGACGAGGATGGACGCGCAGCCGTCTGAGGAGGAGGCGCAGGCCCAGTGCAGGGCCGTCCATCCCTCCTGATCCTTCGCTTCTATCTGCATGCAAGCTCAGCAGCTCTCGAGCTGAGCTCCTCCTCTCACATCCGCCTTGGCCTCCAACAGGAGCTTCACGACGTCTGGCTGGTCTGACCGGCAGGCATAGTGCAGGGCGGTAGAGCCGAGGGGTCCAGCAGACTCCAGTTGCGCTCCCAGCTCGAGGAGGACTTTGACGCAGGAGGGGTGCGAGCGCAGGACAGCAACGTGCAGGGGCGTGTGCTGGGCTCCGTCCCGCGCATCGAGGAGCTCCTCGGAGCCCTCCGCCAGGAACGGCAGGCAGTGGGACTGACCGTTAGAGGCAGCGCAGTGGACCGCGTTCCATCCGAAGGAGTTGACATCCTCCTTTCCCCCCTGCCAGTGCACCAGCGCTTTGAGTACCTCGAGGTTGCCGTTGCGAGCGGCCAGCAGCAGGGGAGTGTCGCCCTCGTGGTCCCGCGCCCCGATGCTCCCTCCTGCCTCCACCAGCCTCACCAGGACCTCCAAGTGCCCGTTGCATGCGGCCCAGTGGATGGGAGTCCTGCCAGACTGGAGGACGCAGCAGGTCAGACGCGGCAGCGGCAGTTCTCGGCTCACCTTCATGGCATGAGCGAAAAGGCCGGGCATGGAGTGGAGGCTCTTCAAGCTCGAGCCATGGATCGTCCTGACGTTGATGCTGCCCGACATGTCAGGGGACGGCGGCAGCAAGTCGCTCGCTCGCTCACTCTGCTCCAGCGTCTCGCAGAAGTTCCAGCACAGCCACGTGGTTGTTCCTCGCCGCCTCGTGCAGAGCCGTGAAGCCGTCGTGGTCCTGCTCCGAGTCAGCACAGGCCCCGCCTCCTCCCCAGCAGCACCTTGATCCAGTGACCTGCCCGAGCCTCGAGGAGGAACTTGACAAACTCCGTGTGCCCCTGCGCCTCCCTCAACCTCTCGCTGAGCACACGAACAGCTGCTGACCTTGGTCGAGGCAAGGTGCAGCGCAGTCCAGCCGTCCTCGTCCTGCAACGACGTGTCCGCCCCTGCCAGCTCGTGAGGCTGCTGGAGTGGAGGTGGGGATGAATACGATTCTCGATGAGGTATCTTGCGATCTCCACCCTCCCAGCAAACGCCGAGCAGTGCAGAGGACACCTGGAGGAAGCGAGGTCACAAACATCGTCCACTACAACATAATCACTGCAAACCACCAACACTTGCTCCTCCTCTACCTCCTCCACATCTTCCTCAACTTCCAACTCCTTCTCCACTTCCTCCTCCCGCTCACCAGCGCTGGGGTGGATGGCCGCGTTCATTGACGTCCATCTTCTTCGTTTCGATGAAGTGCCGGATCTTCGAGACGTCAGGCCAGGGAGGAGGAGGAGGAGGAGGAGGAGGAGGAGGAGGAGGAGGAGGAGGAGGAGGAGGAGGAGGAGGAGGAGCATCTGGCTGACCTTGTCCATCTCGCCTCTCGCGCACGCGTCATGGAGAGGATACTCTTTGTCCAGCAGCGTCAGACTGCCTGGAGGAAGATGATGAGCCGTTGGGCGCGCTAGGGGAGCACAGACTTGAGGAGAGGGGAGGAGTCGGAGGAGAGAGCTTGGGAGATGCTGTGTTCACTGCATGGCAGTCAAATCCTCTTACTCCCTCCCCCTTCGTCTTCCTCCTCTTCACCATCCTCTTGCTGCCCCCCATCCCCTCCCCCTCCGCCCTCCTTCTGATCCATCCTGTTCCCCGTCCCATTTTCTCATTGACCTGACGTCAGAGGCGGGGTGGGAGCAAGCTTAGGGGAGGAGGTGTTCGCTGCGGATGCTTCAGAATGCAAAGGAGGTAGAAAAGAGGTGGAAGGGGAGGCGAGAGAGAGGGAGGGGGGGTGGGAAGAGGAGGAGGAGGGAGAGGAGAGGAGGGGAGGGAGGGAGGAACAGAGGAGCAGGGAAGGGAGATAGGAGCAGGGGACGACATACCAGGCTCAGAGGAGACGGTGAAGGAACGAAACAGGTCCTCCACTGACACTCGCGGGTATTTCGAGCTCCCAGGGAATGCGTCAGAGGCAGGGGAGCGAGTTGCCTGAAGGAGGAGGCGTGAGTGGAGGAGGAGAGCCGCGGAGGAGGGTACCTGCTGTCGCAGCAGATGCACGTCCTGGGCCTCTGTCTCCTGCTCCACCTCGTTACCTCCCAGCAGGGGAGGGAACGGGAGCACCTGGGGTTCCTGGTCGGCATGCCCGATGAAGCGGACGAGGAACGTCTGAGGAGCAGGTGAGGGGCTGGGCTTCTGCCGTCTCCTCCTCACCTCAGCTGTCTTCTCACATGCAATACCTTCGCGCCATGTCCCGTCGCCATGGTAGACCGCCTTGAGCTTGTCATGCAGCAGTCAAGGGCAGAGTTCTCATCACCTGGCAGGGCTGCCACTGGGGCTCCTCCTCCTCCTCGCTCATCTCCTCCTCATCATCCTGCCGCTCAACAGTACATCAGTTCTTCCTGCTCCTACATGGCCCTTGCACTCCCCTCCCCTCCCCTCCCCTCTTCCTTTCCTCTTCCTCTGCCCTTGCCTGCTCTCGTCTGCTCTCGTCTCCTCCTCCTCCTCCTCCTTCTCCACTCCTTCCCGCCCCCTCCCTCTCGCCCTCGATCCTCCTGGCTCGGATATTTCCTTTTCTCCGACTACTCCGCCTCGTA